GATATCATTATCCCCAAGAGTTGAGATAATGTTACTATGACTGTTTTGGAGCTTCGGACTTGTTGTACCCAGCTCCTGAGGTTGAGCAGGTGGTCCTACAACAGAAACACCTGACAACTCGCTGTGTCTATTATTGTGCCGATGCGCTGGATCCTGATGGTCAGTGTTAGGTGGCTCTTCTTCTGGTTCACCGAGAACTTGTGCTGTTGCAAAGTGTGCATAGTGATCTGGACATCTCAGAGAGCCTGGGAGGTGGATAACGACTGAATGAGTTATGTCTTCTAGGTAACACTGGAGTCGTATTGGATGGGTGCAGAGGTGAGCCGCCACTGCTGCCAGAAGCTTTGTGAAGGTCCTGGATGTGGCCGAAAGCCTTGTATTGGTAATGCTTCCCATCGTAATGGAACATCAGTAACCTTCTGTGCAACCGGTGGATGGGTAGGTGCAGGTATGCTTCTTTTAAGTCTATAGAGGTCAACAGGTCTTCCTATCTGATACAACCAAGGAGCGTCTGGAGGGATTGTATCTTGAAGCGTTTGTAGGCCAGATGCAGATTTAGATTTTTCAGATCCAAAATGGCTCTCCACCTCCCCCCTCCCCTGAGCTCTTTGGGACCAGAAACAGAATGGAATAGAATCCCTTATTTTCCTGCTCTACAGGTAGGGGCGCTATAGCTCTTATGTCTAGTAGAGGTGGATTTCTGTCTGCATGAGCCCTTTCTTGAGGGGGGAGGAAGGAACTGGGCAGCAGACAAAGGTCTGCGGGGGGAAGGACAGGATGTCTAACGTCAGTTAGACTGACTATTTGAGGACCCACACGTCTGTGGTTATTTGCACCCATTAGTCAGCATACAGCTTTAGATGTCTGCCAATAGGAGGGACGCATTGGTGGTCACTTATTCTATTCGAAGGGGCAATTGTTTGACCCTCCTTGGAAGGGCCGATGGAATGCCTGCTGCTGCCTCCCCTTGTTTCTAAAGGACGACCTGTCCTGGGCTTGGTCACTTGTTTGAGGATAGGGTCTCTGGTAGGAAGGAGTGGTAGGAGGGGGATCTTGCACCCGAAAGGGCTGCTTCCAAAATAAATTGGAACCCTTCCGATCGGACTTCCTATGAGTGGACAGGAGGACCTTACGTTTGTCCTTCGTCTCAGTCAGAACTTTATCTAGGGATTCTCCAAAGAGTTGCCCTCCCTTAAATGGGGCTGAGGCCAGCTTCCATTTGGACTTCATATCTGCCTGCCAGTGGGGTAACCAGAGTAGCTGGCAAGAAGTCACATTGGATGTGAGGATTTGGAGACAAATTTGGCTGCATTTAGGGATGCATCCGCCAAATATTCCACAGCTGCTATGATCTTGTTCAGATCCTTGCACCACCTGAAAACCTCAGCGGGGGGGTTGGATCTCAACTGGCGTAATCAGAGCAGAGAGGCCCTGGTAAAGAAGGACGCCGAAGTAGAGGCCATAATGACCGAGGCAACTGTCTGGTGTATCTTATGACAGGTCTTTTCCGCTTTCTTGTCCTCTGCTTTGAGACCCTCAAAAAGGTCTGCAGGTAAGACAGAATTGGAGGTCAAGGAGACAATGGGGGCATCTACCAAGGGAAGTTTTTTATCTCCCCCACTGGGATTGGAGCCAGCCAGGTTGCACCCACTGGCACTGAACCACATTCATAAACAGCTCTGGAACCGGAACCAGATCCTGAGCTGCAGCATTTTCCTTAAAGAGGCCTCCTGAGAATTGAAGGGTGCTGGTGCCCCTTGAGAGGGGGAACCCAACTGAGTGGAGAATCTGGACTTATGCAAAATGGACTTGAAAAGAGAAGGCTTAAAAAGTCCTGCAAAGGCAGGCTTATCAGGAGGAAGGTCTTCCTCCTCCGATAGTTCCAGGTCCCCCGTGGCTTCCTCCTCCCAAACAGATACCTCCATTGCTATGGATGTGCCGGGAGACTTGGGTGCTGGGATGAGATCCCCACCCTGAGAAGCCTGAGTTGGATGGGATTGAGGTGGCCTGCCAGAGCAAGGTTCCTTTTGGTGAATCCCTTTGGCAATGCCCTGAGCTATGGCTTGGGCAATTACTTCCTTTCATTTCCACTGACAAGGCTGGGCCCTGATCCTCCACAGGCTTGGCTCTATTTGGTGCAAGCCTGCCCTTGGCACTAGAAGGCCCAGGCTCTAGAAGGCCCAGGGAATGGTGCAATCAAAGGGCTCCTGTTCCCCCCTCATGGAGGAACCTGGGGAATCCTGGTAGTCCAAGGAGGCATCTGGAAAAAGATTTTGTGACCCATCATCTACCAGTGAAGGAGATGGGTCCCTTTGGGATGGAAGATGGTCAATTTTCCCGGGCATCTCAAATGAGGCACTGGGTTGCTGGGCCTGCTGCTCAGGGGATCTCGATTTCCTTTGTGCCCTCTCAAAGGTCTTTTCCAAGGCCTTTTGCCTCCTAGCAAACTCCATAGATGAACTCTTGGTTTCTTTAGAGCCCTGGGTATCCTTCACTTTGGTGCCCTTCCTGCCCTGCCGCCTCTTAGGTGTGGGTTCTGCCCGCTCCTCCTCAGCCCTCAAACCTTCATCCGCTATCTTGTCTTCTCACGAATCCTGCTGAAGTGGACTCCTCTGGAAGCTTGTAGCCGAAGATGGTGTGAAGTAACCTTGGAGTAACAGAAAGATACCGGCACAAGCCAGCAAGCTCCGCTGCACCTGCAGATCCACTCTCTGAGCTGGAGCATGACCTGGGTGGCCAACAACTCCAAAGTCGCCCTCTGCGTGTTTCTGGGGGAGGCAGGCCTTGTCAGCGTCCCAGACAAAGGTAAATGCTCCCCAGTGGTGATCTGCTGCTTTAGAAGGGCAGCGCAGCAAGGTTATTGAGCTTCCGGCAAAAAAGTGTGTGAAGCGCTGTTCCAAAATGGCTGCCACGCTGGTTGGGAGAAGAGAGGAGCTGTGGGTACAACCGGACCCTCTGCGAGGTGTCTGACCCTCTCACTGTCCTCTGACAGCCGGGGGAAAGAAAGGAAGACCCCTATCTCCCCCGTGCTCACTAGCAGCTGCCGGACAAGCACCCCCTTTGATCACTTTCACTGCGTGTGAGCAGCAACAGCTCAAGCCCCAACAGCCCATCCAAGCCGAATGCAAAACGCTGATAATAAAATATTTTTCCTAATCCTAACTAAACTGAGTAAATACCAGACAAAAATACTAGACAAAAATAATAAATTATGTGCTAACTGTTTGGAGAGTCCCAGTCTATCTGTTCAAGAACTGAGGAGCTCCTCAAAAAGTGTCCTTAATGGGCTGGACTGAGTTTTTAAACTGGACCTCAATGAGGAAGAGGAGGTGTGTCTAAAGAAAATTCAACTCAGTTCTTGGGCAGATAGACTGAATTTAACCCATGCTTGGACTCTCCAAGCAGCGCACAGGAGAAAAAAAGTATTACTGCACGCAAATATAGCACACATTTTACATATATGTAATACAAATATCAGTCTACTTTATTCCCACTTCTATTTTGTTTCTAAAAGGCGAAGAGGACTTTTTAGTGACCAGTTCCATATAAAGCCAGAATTTATACAGTGAACTTTAAGCTGTCTATGTGAACTGCGGTAATATTTTGAATTACCATACTCCACTGACAATTTAATAGGACAAATTTGAATGAAAATTTTAATAGATACCGTATATGCTATGTTTTATTCATGAAATATATGAGTACTTACTTCTTGTTGTAGTACTTCAATATTTTTGATTTTCATTTCAATCTGCTTCTTTAAACTATTAACCTAAATAGCATAACAACACATATTTCAAACAGTAATAATATATCACATAATTATCCTAGACAAAATCCTATTATCTGAATAGCTGATTTGAAAGATTTCTTCTGATTATGGCTTATTCAAAACTTGCTATGACTGCAACTCTGAAAATTGTTTTATCTTCAGTATAAAAACCAAACCATTTATTGAGATTAAGTGCAATTTAAAAATCTGCACAAATACTTATCCGAAATAATGGAGGATGTATGAGTTACAGATGCATATTCATTTGTTACTTTTGATTACAAGTATTAAATGCATAGAAAAACAAAAGTTGCAATAAACATTTTCAGTGATTAGAAATAACAATACATTTCTATTTGATCAAAAGATTGTTTCTGAATCCTGAAGCAATTCAAAAAATGGATAAATATCAAAACCTGATAGATATATTTTTACATTTTTATACCTTGTTTTCTAATGTTTTCAGTTGTTTTTCCTTTTTTGAAATTTCATTTTCAATATTTCTAACCTAGAAATATATTATAAATAATGACAAATATATTATAAAATTCATTACTAATTTCATTAAATTATATTTTAAAACTAAGAAAAAAATGTAACATAGGGAGGTATTTCTTGTTTCATTTTCTGATGGCATTTGAGGGACTAATACATTAATTGTTGCATAAACATTTGCTTTCCATTTGTTTCACGAAACCTTAAGTAATAATGTTTTTGGTAGTTTGGTAAACTATGATGCTTTTTTAAAATAAAGTGTGATCAAAGCTCCACATTTGTAATAAACCCTTCTGAATTAAACAAACATACATGCATACATACATACATACATACATATCAAATTCAAAATGTTAATTCTCTATGCTGTTTCTCAGAAGCTGCACCAAACATAACTGAATGTAGAACCAATCATTTCAAAGGGATTTTGTTGTACTGATCATTAATCTTTGTACTCAGACCATATTCTTACATCACTTATACAGTTTTGACCCGATTACTACATGTTTTCCACGTATATTTTTTAATATCCCATTCCCTCTACACCACATTATTTTTACAATTTTCATGATATATTTCCAATTCACATCAATATAAAAAAGGGACTTGGGACTAGAGGCTAGCTTTTCTGCATAGCTATTTTCATATCTTTAGACAAACATTCATTCTTTGTAAAACATCACATATTACATGCTGCTTTTTATCATAACTTGCATATATTAATATTTCTATGTTAATCAGTGTGAATTGATACATTTTCTTCATTTTCATCAACTTTGTTTTTTGCTTCTTCTGCCTTCTGTTTTAGTTTCTCCGTTACTTCCTCTAATTCATTGCTATATAACAAAAATTAATAAATCCAATTACTTCCATGCACCTATAAAATATTTATAATAAAGACACTGCTAAATTCATGTAGAAATTGAAATCTTCATATTCCAATAATATTAGATTATAATCTACTGTGTAAGCATGCTTGCACATATATGTATAGAATAACTACATTTTGTAACCTGCCCCCTTATCTATTGCATGTTTGAAGTCAACAACTACTTTTGTCTATTAGAGATGCCAGTGAACTGTTTAGGATATATGCCAAAAAGATGCATTGCTATATCCAAATTGTGAAGATCTAGCCTAATGAAAATTAGAGTTACAAGGAGCGAACATTCACCAGGACATATTTAATTCCAAGTAAGCTGTAAACAGAGAAAAAAAAACATTTTGATTTAAGTGGTTAATCAAATAAAATACAATATTTAGGAAAGTAACATTTGGTCCAATACTCCAACTAAAGTCCTGGAACAGCTTTTGGCAAAGGAATGATAAAGCATCCAATGTTCTTTTTGTCTGATAATCTGGTAAAACTAGAGTTAGAAAGAACCATATTGCATAAAGAACAACTTCATGTAATAACTTGAAATGTAAATTTTAGTGAACATACCACTGTAACCTTTCCTTACCTTACCTTAATAGTAGGTTAGCTTGTTTTAAAATGTCTATCTGATTTTTGGTTTCTTCATCTGTATTTTTAACATTCTGAACAAAAAGACAAGCAACTGAATGTAGAAAATGCAAAACTGGTATAAATTAAGTATATATACTATAAATATTAAATGGTCACTTATAGAACTTTCATGATCCAGTTTCATGTAGTGATTAAAGCTTCAGACTAAAAGCTGGGAAACCATGAGTTTTATTCTTGCCTTGAACCAATTACTTTCTTTCAGCCCTAGGACGTAAGCAATGAAACCACTTCTGAAAAACCTTGCAAGAAAACTGTACCGACTTGTCCAGGCAGTCTCCAAGAATTGAGTGAATAGAAGAAAAAGAAATAGAAAGTTCACTCAGAGCCGCTTTCAGCCTTTTTTTAAGTCATTTAAGTTTCATTCTTATGCATATTTAGAAAACAGTGAATGCATAGTAAGATGCACTGGAAGCACACAATTATAATTTAATTTTGAAATTAAAAATAATTACTGGCACAAAAACAATCTATACGTAGACGGTTTAGTTTAAAAAATGTAGTCAGGAACTTGCCTTAATATTATCTTTACATTTTTGAAGTTCATCATCTACCATCTTTTTCTCTGTTATAATTTGTTCTTTCTCAAATAAAATTTTGTTCCACTCCATATTTAGCTCTTTATTCTTTAGACTGTGAAAATAATAACAGAAACAATTATTTATATTTTCATATATTTTTTTAACTACTCTATAACATTATGTGACAAGATGTACCAAGCAGACCTAATGTTAATATAAGACCAGCTAAGGAACTTTGATTCCATTAGCAATTTAATGGCACTTAGCATAAAAACCACTATAAATACTTTTTTTTATAAATTGACAGGTTTCATACTAAGACCACATCTATATGTACTATACTATATGTATAGATGTGTACTATCTATACATATAGTATGGTACATATAAATGTGGTCTTAGTACATGTGTATTATATGTACTGAAATAAATTATTAATCAAATAATGCTGTTTTAAAATTGTATGAATAATAATAGTAGTAAATTTTATTATGGTCACTGACCAATTTAGAAACAAAAAGCATACACATTCTAAGACTGCAAATAAAAACACTGTAAAACTGATATTTTCAATGTATGACATGCTTTACAAATCACAAAAAACAAAAACCAACCTTAGACATGTTCAGTGAAATGAAATCACAAATCAAACAGTAGCAATTCTAAGTAGAATTGATCTGGTTGATCTTAAAATATATCTAGAGAAGAAGCTAAGCTGCAACTAAGCACATTTATAATAAGGACAATGTTAAAAAATGTGAATTAATATTCCAGGAACTCCTTCACTACAGGGACAAAGTCTTTCTTAAATAGGAAACCCACAATTTCCCTTCAACAACAGCTTTGGAAGGGCATAAATCTTGTTAGGGTTTAGGGCTCTTCTGAAATTTTAAAAGCTTAAATAGTCATTTTACAAAAACAAATTAAATATTGCATCTATCTGAGATTGAAAAATCTGGACATTTATAAAAGGGCAATTTCTGCAATTAACTAAGTGGCTTCCACTTTGATACAAGCCAGGTTTGACTATTTTATGAGTTGTTATACTAAATTGTTCAATAAATGAATTAGGCTGTGTTTGACCAACTTTTCCAGGATCCCCATCAGTGTATTGTAAGAGCACTTTGGTATGGTGCATTGCCATCTAAATATGGAGGACTCCCGTTATTTTCTCCTGTCCATCCAGCAGTTTGAAAGTGTGCAAATGCAAGTAGATAAATAGATACCAATTTAGACAGAAAGCAGCATTCTGTGTGCCTTGGCATATAGTCATGCTGGCCACATGACCATTGAAATGTCTTCAGACAATGCTGGCTTCCTTAGCTAAGAAATAGAGATGTGCATCACCCCTTAGATTCAGACAAGACTGATAGGGGAAACCGTATTTTATTGTATTGTATCGTATCATAATGTTAATTGTAATATAACAGGGGAAACCTTTATCTTTACCTTATACCCTGCATGTCCTTTATATATTAAAAGTAAACCAATTATAAAAGCCTTTCATAACTAATAGCATGCTAACCGTATATTAATATAAGTACATACATTTCTTTTTCAAGCTCTGCTTTCAGTGTTGCAAGTTGTTGAAAGCAATTTTGTTTATTTTCGAATTCATCAGACAATTGCATTTCCAAATCACGTATTTCTTTCTGCAGGTAACAATTAATGCATGAATGTGATTTTACGACATACCATTTACAATAAAATTACTGTAAATCATTAGCATAGTAAATAAAATAACTTTTTTGGCTTTTATTGGTTAAAAAAAACCCATTGGTTAAAATGTATTTTCCTTTATGACCACGTGGTTCATTTAACAACCATGTGGTTCACTTAGCAACTGCTAACAATCATCATAAAACCTGAGGTAAAATCAAGTTTGATCACATGGTGCCTCAACTTACAACCACAATGACTTATAATTAAAATTATGATCTGTGTGTTCTATGTGTTCTAACTGGTTGTATTACAAACATAAATGAAATAAGGCTATGCGAGCTGTGAGTGCCTCCACCTGCATACTGGACCCGTGTCCCTCCTGGCTGGTTGCCAACAGCAGTGAG